AGTTTCTACCTATAGTTCTCTCTTTAAAATTAAATTATGTACATAAGTATCACAAAACAGCAGCTTTTTAATTTCCATTTGGCCAAATTCCAACCAATAGGAGAATAATATATTGCTTAAGTCTATCATTATTTGATATTGCTTAATCCATTGAAAATCAAGTGTATTAGAAGGAAACTGGGATGAAGACATGGAGGTACATTACTATTAACCTGGAGACCAAGCTGGTTCACACTACCTCAGATACCTTCAACGCATTTAGAGTACCCAAAGGGTAGGAGATGAGGGAGGTACAGAGATGAGATGAGCCTGTTAGAGACAGACACAAGACAGAGCAAAATAAAGAAATATAAAGATGAATGACAAAGTTACATACATGTGTAACAATACAATTATTCATGGGAATAGAAAACATGAAGAAAGAAAGACTAAATATTTAGAAAATGTTGATTAGGTGAGCTACATTTCAAAAACATGAAAGTATTTACATAATTAACTTAGAGAAAAATTAGTATGCCTAAAATAATTAATGTAATATCAGAAATAACAAATTTAAACATATCATACCAGAACTATTTTTGCTGTTAAGATTTAGTCTGACATAAAAAACCTTGACATGCAAACATTTAGTAACAATACTTCTGAACAGACTCATCAGTTGGGTCAAAAATATCATCTTGATTTTTTTTGGGAACAAGTGAAAAAGATCATCTTTATAAAACAATATTTAATTCTATCATCTACATGAATTTTTTAATATGCTTGCTCTCAGTGATTCTGATATTCTATTTTTTTTCTTCAAAGGTAACACATTTAAGAGATAATTTTTAAACTCTTGGCATCTTATTTATTAGCCCACCATGTTTAAAAACAAGACATAAAAACAGTATCCATCTGAAAAGAAAAAGTATAACATTGTAAAAGAAGTGGTTATGAAACAACCAGACTGATTTCCAAAAACTAGAAATAAAAATAATTCACAATACAGATGTGTAAATTGCTTTAAGGGTTGGAATTGACCCAATCTACAAAGTCAACTCATATCCCATCCCTCCAAATCTAAATGTTTTCTGGTAACTTATGGCTTTGAACAGTGGGTCAGAGACCTGCTCTATAACTCCTTTTGAAGTTGTAAATAAAAAGGACACCTTGGAAGTATTCAGATTAAAAAACAAAAAACAAAAAACACCAAACTCACTGCCATGAAGTCAAATCTGACTCATGGCGACCCTTCCTTGGGTTTCTGAGGTGCTATCGCCAAGGATCTAGATTGCCCAACCTTCCTTCCGAGGAGTGGCTGGTGGGTTTGAACCACCAGCCTTTTGGTTAGCAGTCAAATGCCTGGGCACTACGCCACCAGAATTCAGATTAGGAGGGAGAAAAGATATGTGGGGGAAAAGGAACGAAGTTAGAAATCATTAGTAAGGAAGGACAGAGTGCAGTGAAGATATACTGTACCTAAGGAAATTAAGAGCTCTTAGTTATTTTAAAAAAGATAAAAGTTATCACAAACATAATTATATTTTATAATAGACTGATAATTCAAATGCCTAAAATATTGAATACATGAAAAAATGATAAATACATAAATAAATTGGTATTTTTTTTGCTCTCTAGATCATTTAACATAAAGGACTTATTTTTATATTTAGAAAATCTAGTTTCAAAGGAATTATTTGAATATTCTTGAGATGTATCTTTTGAATACTTTCCACTCATATCCTTTTCAGAGTCCTAATGTCAAAGTAGATACTATTTTTCTATTATTTTTGCTGTTGTTTTGCCAAATGTAACTGTCACTTTTTATTGAAACATCAGAATCAGGCATTTAATTCTCACAGTTTTGATGCTTAATGAAAAGTGAAAGTTAAACACAGCATGGTGGCATTAAAAATGCATGGTGAATCCATAGCATCCTTCATCTTAGCTCTGAAGAGAATGTGCAGAATACCAAGAAAAAAAAAAATTATACAAGTAAAGTAAGTGTATTTGGAGGTGAGATTGACAAATTATCACAAATCACTAAAACGGTATAAACAGAAGAGTGTGGACTCGGGGAGGAGAGGAGCAAGTAAATACACTATTTTATTAATCTAATCTATAAAACAAGGAAGATCCACACCTGAAATACAGTATTCTAGTGTTTAACCCTTGGGAGAACTACAAGGCAACATCTCAAGTGAATTAAGTAGAAATCTTATTATGTATGACTCAGTTCATTTTTGAGAGAATTTCAATTGTTTTGTCTCCAAAGTAAAAGTGGATGAAACAAGAGGAGGGAACTCATTTCTGTCCATATGCCCAGGAAGTAAAATGTGTTCTCTATTCAAGTTTTTAGGAAAACTTCACTCCATTTAATCCCTATGCTATAACCTTAAAAAAAAAAAATCAATCTTTTTGCATGAAATGCTCTCCTGAGGATATTTTTTTAATACTAAGGATACTATTTCTACTCTTCCAGATGTTTTGAAATCCTTTTGTATCTGTAGCACTGCACACAAAATTTACATCTCTATTACATATTCTAAAACAGAATGTCAAATCTACATTTATGGCTATGAGTTTCGATTTGTTTGTTTACCTAGTATTTGTCAGTTTTTAGAGTTCATAAGTAGATTGAGAACCTTAGTAATAAAGGTCCTTCACACTTTTTTTTTTTACTTCTGGGTAGAAAATTTATTTCTAAATTGGTAAAATCTATACATATTTTCAGAATTCTTAACACACATAATTATGCAAAGTGTGTGAGGAAGCAAAACAGAGTCACAAGGAGGTGTTATAAGCCTGAGCTTAGAAAACCATTTTGACAGCATACCCTACAACAATACTTAATTGGATATATGAATCTTATTAGAAATGTTTCCAAGTTTTTATTACTGTAACGTATGCCTCAAAGATTTATATGTGTTCAGATAAAGGCTGATTGTACAGATGGTGACAGAATCACTCAGAATCTAGTTTTCAGAAAAACTAAGCAATTGCTTGAATAAGACAAATAAGCTCTCAGAAGACCTTATATTTATATGAATCTATATGTAGACTTATGATTCATAGCTATAATTCTATCATCTCATCTTATATTTAACAGAAGTTTAGAACAGTAACAATGACTAGAGCTATATGAGATTATAACAAATGTTTGATTGAGTAAATTAGTACCATCCTCCTCCCCCTGCCAAAAATAGAAAAATTGTTTGTATAATAAATAGTATCCCCAATGAAATTTGGGGTGTAAATGATAACTAATTCTCAATCCAAGATCCTTTCCTTTGAATAAATATATATCTTTCTTATAGATATATTTTTTATTGTCTGATTTCCAGTAAAAATGAAATAGCAAACATTTAAAATGTGATTGCATTAATAAAGAATTACTTCAATAGTGTATTTTAATAAGTTTTTTGGAACCTTGTAGACATAAGCCCATCATCAGAATGAGTTAATATCTGTGTCTGTTTTCTTAACATCACCATATCAAAGAAATAAATACTAGCATTGTAAGCATAAAAAAGCACTGCATTTATAATGTCTCTCAGAATATAGACACTTCAAGTTGTGATTTTTTATGTATCATATCTTTAAAGCAAATTGTGATTTAGAATATGAATATATTTTCAATATATGATGTGATTCAAAGCAAGTTAGACACCCTCAAAATGTTCAGTGAAATCTACAAATACAAATTGGTATATATCATAAAGTAATCATAACATTTTAGTGAATCATAACATCTTAGTGAACTTCACACATGAATAACTAGAGACTTTTCTATATAACAACAATGGCTAACATCCAAGCATTGCAAGGTCTTAAATATCAAATGAGTATTTCAATTTTTTTCCCCATTAAGAACTTGTTCTATATTCTGAAACAAAGTACACCTAATTACCTTTATCTGGTTATAAAATAATTTCTTCTATATGTCTGTGTGTACTGATTGAATAGTCTGAAAACTGGTAGAAATTCCCAAATAAAGCAAAGTTTGTAGCTGTAGCAGACTCATTTTCATGCATTTGTAAGGCATCTTTGAAGCTTTTGAAAACAGGAATGAAATGATATAACATATTCCATGTAAATATCATGGCCAGTGGTGAAAATCAGTTTTTTCTAGCAAGGCATTGAAAAAGACTTTGCATTAACCGTTTTTTTGAACTGGGAACTTTTATAGCTGATGGAATTTTAACAACGTTTTATCATCCTCATGATAAATTCACTTTCCTGAGTGGGACTAATGAAAAAGATGGATGGTAATATATTTCTAAGCAACTCCTTTAGAGTGAATTATAAAGGGCCAAATGAGTACAAGGAAAGAATGAAAAATACAGGAAGGATAAAACAGTGTGGCACCAACCACAGGAATAAGTCATGACTGATAGAAAGCGATGAAGGTCATCTACACTGGCATATGAAGATGGTGAGTGGGGTGGATTCCGTAGATGCTTAAGATGCCACACTGCAAAAAGTAATGAGCTCATGTACTAGAAATTAGGCTTAATACATGGAAGGCCACAAGAAATGCACTGGCTGGTGTTTCAATTATTATCTCTAATGGAATTCTTTGACCATGAACAACATAAATCATTATCTTTTCCCTACAAAAACCAAATGGTGATTCTTATTCATTTTAACCAAAGTACAATAAATAACAAAAGTCAAACCCTTGCTTGGGATTCTCAAGCTGTAAAAAGAGACTAAGACCTTGCTTTGGATGCAATAAATTATGAGTTATGTTTGCTGAATTTGAATCCAAAAGTTCATAGTTATGTTTCTTTTGCATTCTTTCATGAGCCTTTCAGGAAACTTAAAATCATTGTTAAAATTTCTAAAATTTGATGCTTAAAAATAAAACTATATATGCATATAAACCTAAGCAATTCCATTATAAAATATGAATTTCAATAAATCATTTTCAAAAAAGAATGTACTGATGGACTTAGAAGCATTTTTCACATTTCAGTGACCTATAACAGACATAAAGAGCACAGTAAAGGAACACTTACCATTTTTATCCATGGAATTTGGTTCTGACTGTTTTTTGCCAATATCAGCAAATGAACGAACAATGGGAATCCTATTGGTTAGTTTTTTCTGATTCTGATGGTGATGCTGTTTCATCAGTGCCTCATGGACTCTGTGACGTACATCTTCATTGAGCTGACCTGAGCTCACTTGTTGGTCAAGGACCATATCTGAAAAAAGGGAAGACAGGAAGAAGATAAACACACCTTTCCTGCTACATGTGCTGGCAGTTAACGACTGAGTGCAAATATGCAAACATAATATTAATATATCTAAATAATATTAATCTTAAAATGTGAATGAATTATTTTAAAGTCTCCAAGCATGGTCTTACAAGTAGAAGTTCATCATCCTTTGAAGAAATGTTATACAAGAAAGAGTTGGACAAATTCTCATTGCAAACCATCCAACATTAAATATGTAACAATGCTACAGAGAATTATTTTTTAAATGGACATAGTTTTATTGAGAAGAAAGTGTTTTATACTCCTCATTAGTCACACCAATGAGAGAACAAAGAGAGAGAAAAAAATAGTTAATGTTTGAAATTGGATAGTGGATTCATACTTATATTTTAATATCATTGTTGTCCCATTTTCTAATAGAGGATAATTTCTTCATGTCCTTTTTAAATTTAGAATTTCATCTGAAAATATGACAGAAGTAGATCTAGGCAGCTATCTGCTTCCTTAAATTAGGAAAATAAAGAATTATTTTACATTGCTACAGAGTTAGCCCTTCCTCAAATGTCCCTTGAAAATGTATTTAGATCTCAAAGGTCCTGTATAACTGAAAAACAAAGAATAAACAATGAGACTTTAGAATGTTATAGTGAAACATTGTCTGATACAGTGCCAGAAGATGGGCCCCTCAGATCAGAAAGCACTCAAAATACCACTGGGGAATAGTGGCCTCCTCAAAGTAGAGTTGACATTAATGACATGGATGGAGTAAAACTTTTGGGACGTCCATTTGCTGATGTGGCATGACTCAAAATGGGAAGAAACAGCTGCAAGTATACATTAATTGGAATGTGGAATGTATGAAGCATGAAATTGGAAGTTGTCAAAAATGAAATAAAGATCAATATCATAGGCATTAGGAAGCTGAAATGGACCGGTTTTGGCCATTTTGAATCATGATCTACTATGCCAGGAATAACAAACTGAAGAGGAATGGTGTGGCATTCATCATCACAAAGAATGTTTCAAAATCTATCTTGAGGTACAACGCTGTCAGTGATAGGATGGTATCCATATGCCTACAAGGAAGACCAGTTAATACTATTATTACTCAAATTTATGCACCAACCACAAAAGCCAAAATGAAGAAATTGAAGATTTTTACCAACTTCTGTGCCTGAAATTGACCAAACATACAATCAAGATGTATTGATTATTATTGGTGATTCAAATGTGAAAGTTGGAAGCAAAGAAGAATCACTGGAAGCTGGAAAATATGGTTTTGGTTATAGAAATGACACTGGACACCACATGACAGATTTTTGCAAGATGAATGACTTCCTAATACTTTTTTTCAACAACATAAACGGCGGCTATACACATGGACCACACTGAATGGAACACACAGGAATCAGATTGACTACATCTGTGGAAGGAGGTGATGGAAAAGCTCAATATCTTCAGCCAAAACAAGGCCAGGAGCTGACTGGAACTGTCCATCAATTGCTCGTATGCAAGTTCAAGTTGAAGCTGAAGACAATTAAAACAAGTTCACAAGAGGAAAAATACGACTGAGAATATCCCACCTGAATTTAGAGACTATCTGAAGAATAGATTTGATGCATTGAACACCAATGACCAAAAACCAGGGGAATTGTGGGATGACATCAAGAACATCCTCCAGAAAGAACGCAAAAGGTCATTAAAAAGACAGGAAAGGGATTGAGTTCCAGTAAGATGGTGGAATAGGCAGACAAACTACACAGACCCTCTTCAACAAAGAAAAGGGGAACAAATTAATACAGATACAGAATTTAATCCTGGATCCTTGAGCTCTGAAAGGAACGATACTGAACTGGACTAAACTTCAACTAGTAAAGAACCTGCATAAAAACATTGAAAAAGGAGACATATGAAACTGCAGTCTGTCAGCAATCCTGATGGCACGGACAGTTTTGATATTGCCAAGTGGTGTTAGGACCTAAGAATTAACCTATAAAATTGGCCCTGCTAGCCAGGGGCTGCATGAAGGACTCCACTGGTGGCTGGTGAATAAAAGGCGAAGCAGCAAGGAGGTAGATGGGCTGAGCTACAGACTTCTTGCTGTCCAGAGGGTTCAGCCATTTTGAATGTTTACAAGTGGTTCTACCATTTTGGATATTTAAAGCAACATCAGTCTCTGAGATTCCAGGGACTTAAGAATAGGCTCCACTTGCTGGGGACCACAAGGACATTCCAGACATGAATGACTGGAAAGGTGCAATATTCCCCTTGTTACTCTTATACCCCCACAACTTCTTGGTGAATGGAGGTACAGCCATTCCTCACTCCCATCCACCTTCTGGGCTGGCAGGAATTCCATCCCAGTCTGTGTGCTGAGATGGAGCCTGGGTGCCCTGCCCCACCCTGCCCATATTTTTCTTTCTTTTTTTTTCCAGTTTGTTTGTTTTTGTCTGTTTTAAAATTATAATTATTATTATTTTTCTTCATTCTTTTTATTATTCTTCTTTATTCTTTCTTTCTCAGGTTATAGTTTTCAGCTTTTTCTCTCTACCCTGTTTCTGGTTCCCATTTTTTTTTTTTTCTTTCTTGTGGTTAACCCCATTCCTTGTTTTTCTTTTTGCATTTTTCCCATTTTTTTCTTTATTATTCTCCTACTCCACCTCTTTTCTCTTATTGTGCCATCCCCAGATGTTGCAGCGTCTCTTTTTTTTTTTCTTTTCTTTTTTTGGTGATTGTTCCTGTGTGTTTATGTGGTGTGCTTTTTGTTTGTTGCTTTTACATTTTTGATGGTTTTTCAATTGTTGTTTTTGTCTAACTGAGTGGGAGACAACAATCATATCCATATAATGCAACCATATCTACACACTCCTGCAGCTCCACTTACTGAGTGAGTGCCACCACTTCATTCTCCACCAACTGGTCAATGATCCATGACCACCAAGAACAGCCTGACTCACCCTTAACTGCTGTTCCCAAACAGTTTACAGAGATCTAAAATCAACAATGTCACAATGTATCAGAGATGACAGATTATCACAGTCCACACAAAGAAGCAAGATAAAGTGGTACAATCAAAGAAGCAGGATATAGACCCAGAACACATCCCTGAGAAAGAAGCAGCATTGGAAATCCCTGATAAGGAATCGAAAGAATTATACTTAGGTATCTTCAGAGGATTGAGAGATAGATCAAGGAAAACACTGACAAAATTAAGGAAAACACAGAAAAACCCTAGAACAATTTCAAGAACAATTTCAAGAAGGGTATTCAGATGACCAACAAATATGAAGAAATCATTAGCCATTAGAGCAATGCAAATCAAAACAACAATGAGATACCAACTTGCCCCAGCACTAATAGCAAAAGGCAACAAGATAGAAAGTAACAAATGCTGACGAGGATGTGGAGAGATTGGGACTCTCATACTCTGCTGGTAGAACTGTCAAATGATACAACCACTGTGGAAGGCAGTACAGCAATTCCTTAAAAAGCTGGAATTAGAAATACCATTTGACCCAGCCATTCCATTACTAGGTATATATCCTAAAGAAGTGAGAGCCAGGACAAGAACAGATACATG